ACGCATTACCGTTATTTTCTTTTATTGTATTTTTGTGCATTAAATAAGCTAAAAAATAATAATGTCTGTATAATAAAGTGATTATTATTAAAAGATCCTTAGTCAAGAATTATTATGGGCATGGTTAGTAATAATACACTTAAGACTAACATGTTATTGATTGATGACAAAGAGTTGTCATTGTCACAGTGATGTCAAAATTAATACATGAATATATTGTTAGAGAACAATATATTGGATTGAGCCTCTATAAACATAAGTCTTGGATTATTATGTGATGTTCACGATATTAGTGACAATTATATGTATAATCCTTAGACTTGAGATCATTACAATCTCAACATACATTGTTGTATATTTTTATAAAGTTAAAAATGCTCCATAACTGGTTGCACTATAAAGATTGACATTGAATATATCACAATATTTGTAGCAGGGTGTGAATGATCGAGATAGGATTTGTCCTTCCTATATAATAGGAAACATATCACAGGCCACTTGATTAGGTGAGACTAGAAATGCATGGCCATGCTCGAATAAGTTGGTATGAGATATCACAAAATATTTCTTTATTATAGTCTACTCTAGATATCAAGGAATAATAAATGGGCTACACAAGTGCGACTATTCCAAGACTTGTGTATATTCTATATATAAAGGACAAAAGGATATAATACATTGAAAGAGTTAGTAACAAACATGTTATGTCGAATCATGACTTCACGTAACTTAGGGAACAATGACATACTCCTAGGTGCCACTCATTGTTTGTAATATTATAATAGTTCTAAATATTACTACTAACGTTACAGGAACCTACAGGGTTGCACCCAATGGTTGAAAAAGAGAGCAACTCATAAATGTGTTACATATGTACATTTTGATTGTACATGAATAAAGTGTATTTATTAGTAATATAAATGTGTGTATCCGTGAGTAATTTTAATTACACATGAATATAATGTGTTTAAAGTAATTATATTCCTATTTAAATTCAGAATTTTTAAAAGCCCTAATACCTAGGGCGACACTTATATAACGGATATATTGGTGTAGCAGCCATTTTAATGTTTTTCAAAAATCCCAAAATTCCTAGAAAGGTTTTGCTTTTAACTGTTATTCAATCAGGTGAACTAAGTAGAGGTCAAGACAAATTTTTGTGGAGGCTAGATTCGAACTGTTCGCGACTTCAGTTAGTTGCTGTTGTATTTGCTGATTTTTAATGAACCCAATGTAAGTAATCACATCTCTTCCTCTCGATTTTGAATTTAACGTACTTAGATCACTGGTGAGGTAGTCACGTTTTATTTCCGTTGCGCCATGGGTGCGCTGACAGTCCCAACAATATCTCCCTGAACAAAGTCTTGAAGCTACTATCATATCTGCACCAGATATCGTTATCCCAAGAATTGACTCCTAAAATGCTACTAGAAAAAAGTTCCACGTCAGACAATCAGCCGAAACACTACTCACTGTAGACTCCCACCAAGTGTGGGCATTCTCATCCAACATGGATACAACTCCCAAGAAAAACATACTTAAATCAAAAAAATCCCAAAACGAGTAACATAAAACACAAAATATCACTAGTGAAACAAAGTATTAATAACCAGTGACAAAATATATACATACATCAGAGTGATAGGAAGTAGGCCATAAAACTAGTGTATCAAAATAACAAACACATGTCAACAAAATAAAGGCAGTTCAGAAGATTAAAGCATTACAATAAAATATATTATGCAAAATGTGTTGATCCTCCAAGTGTTAATCTCAGTGCCTATCCAAAATATCTAAAAAGGGGAAGATGGGGGAGTGAGCTAGGGTTATAAGTGTGTTTTAATAGTGCAAAGTAAAACATATGGATATTTTTTTTAAAAATCAGAACAATTTTAATATGAAAGTAGCAATATAATTTTCAGTCAAATCACAAAGTTACCCTCCAACCGAGCACCAACTGCAGTTCCCTATACCTATATTCCATAAGGACTTACTCTAGGCCTAAAAGTCCTAGGAGCCAACCTCAGAGAGCCTCTTGGGTCCATAAGGACTTATCCTAGCCGAAGCATAGGAGCCACCTGAGGGGAGTGACCTCATGTCCATAAAGACTTACCCAATACACAAAGCAAATGAGTCACCCTATGGGAGCGTCAAAGGGTCCATAAGGTCTTATCACTAAGCCCATTGAGCTCACCCAAGGGTCGCCATAGGTCCAAAAGGAATTACCAACTTGATCAGAGTTGAACCTCTAAAGTTTCCAGAGTATATCCCTATTCTATTGAAAATAATTTCAAATAGTACTAATAAACTGGAAATCTTAAGATAGACATTTTCAGTAAACAGTAACCAGAGAACATGTATCAGTCAAATATGAATTTAAAATTAGTAAAACATATATCAGAGATTCAGTAAATCAGTAAACCAATATCAGACTTTTCAATGATCTAAATCAGTCATGCTTCCAAAATAGATAAAACATTCATGTACACATGGTAATTTGGACATATATATATAACACAAGAAACACACCTCGCAAAATGGGTTGATTCAAAAGATCTACTGAGCACCGATCTTGCTAAGAATAGAAGTAGTACACAACTTAAATTAGATCAGAATAGTGTTAATATATGAATAATATATTGAATAAAGTATTAAACTGAGTTACAAAATTATATGAGTAATCACAACTCACGCGGTTAGACAAAACAAGAGGAGCTAGGTCGAGCAATCGACGGGTCAGGAGAAACGTGGATACCTACCATGACCAAATTCGTAATCAGCTCTTTTCCCTTCTATAGTTTTCCTTAAACAATTTAATTAAAGTAACTATGCAAGTTTGGGTTTGGAGGTTAATTTAGAGGCTCTTGGGTAAAAATTTGGCAAAATGAACTTCGAATTCGGACTCAGGATGTAGAAAAACATAAAATATGGTTTTTCAAAAATTTTAACTTTTTTTTCAAATTCAACGGATCAAAGTTAATGGTCAACTCTGGGTATGTTAACGATCAGGTCAATGGATGGGTCAAAGTCAAGAGTTCAATCAAAGTCAACGGTTCGATCAAAGTTAACGAGTTAAACTGGTTCTAGTTGACTTGGTTGCTCGATCTTAGTTGACTCATCCTAAGTTAACTTATTTCTAGAAGACACAGCTAGGAAGGAGGCCCCACGTACGGTAGTGGCATGTGGCAGCGTGATATTGTCGGTATTGAGTAGCCAATCACTCTAAATGAATTTCTACACCATCAACACCCTAAATCAACCTAGATAAAGGAGCTAATCCACGTTGAAATGAGTGAAATACAATCAAAAGCTTCCACCGATGACATATGATGAAAACAACGACAATTAAGGACCCACCGATTTGGTTTTGATTGAAACAAAGCAGGGAGTTCAACGAAAGTGGCGGTGAGACCAATGGCCATCAGAATCATCCCCAATCATCAAAAAATAGAGGCGTCATTGCTATCTCTAGGATACCTTCGAAGGTTTATATGCGGTGAACGGTGGCAACAAACAATGAGTGGCCTACGGGGTTTTAGTCAGGAGGTGCTAGAAGCACACTAGTCTAGGCAGTTCATGACATCGCTGAACGACGACTGAGATCAGAGTTGAAGATTATGAATGATATTTTTCCAATTTTACGATGAAAGGTGGTGAATTTGTGTGGCTAGCTGATGGGATTAGCATTGCAAGGTGAAGGCGAGGATGTTGGTAGTGACGGTGACGGTGACGATCACTGATAACTGGAGGGAAGCAACAGCTCGGGGTGGATAGTTCTAAAACTTGTTTGTTTGACCCCCTTTCACAAGGAGAAATTTGGTAAAAAAAATTAAGTAGGGTGTTTAGGAATCATACTTAAGAGATATTTTCGTTCTTTCTTGTCTGTAAGAGTGGCCTAGTCTAATGGCTAAGGCATGGTTGGCCATACTTTTGGTTTTAGGTTCAAGTCATGGTTCTACAAAAATTCTTTTATTTATTTTCAAGGTTAAAGGAAATGGGTAAATCATGACTGAAGTTATTGGACAATGAGGTGTTCACATAAATGATCTCAAATTCTAAAATCTCTCAAACTGATCCTTTGATTAAAATTAAACCATAATATTCGGGTGTGACAATAGACTTCTTTGAGGAAATTGAACCACTCCAAATCATTTAGCCAATTTTCCTATCCTTTCTCCTTAATTCCCAAAATTTTCAAAAACCCAATTCACACCATTTTAGCCATTTTTTTGTTGATCGATACAACAAAAAATTCCTAACACATATTTTATGAAAAACTATTCAAATAAATATACATTATATAGAATTTAATTTATGTATTTTAAATATGCTTAAACAAGACCTGACTTATACACAACTAGTGACGCTCATGGTTGAGCTTTTGACCTACTTGAACTCTATCCGATTCATATTTAGAAGGACTCCATATTATTTGGACTTCGATCCAATTTTTTTGGTAAAATCTACATCTGACATGATCGAATATATATATTTATATCTATTTTTTATTTTTATTTGGTAAAATAAGGACTTAATAAAAAGTAATAAAAGAGAAATATTATAATTATCTCTAAATATATAATAATTATAATATTAGTTGGATTTTTTCATCTTAAATTGAATTCGTTCTAATTCAAACCTTTCAAAAGAATCTAACCCGATAAAAAACATTTTTTTTAAAATGACTGGATCAAGTTAAATCTAATCAAAATCTATCAAATTCGAGTCAAATGTCTATCCTTATATAGAACTAGACTAAAAAAAATCCTAATTGATACAACAATAATAGACACATGATTCAATATAAATGTTTTGAAAGTTGGTACAAATTTAAAATCTTGATCACAATTTGATGACGATAATGTAATTAACTCAAACAAAGAAAAAGTAAAATGGACATGTCCATTGTTGCAAAGATAAACATGGACAAGATGGCTTCGTAACCGTTGGATTAAAATACTAAAAATCCAAGGGTGGAGATAAAAACCCTAAAGGCATAGAAATAGAAGCTTGAGCGTGTTCACGGGGTTAGATATATATAAACCCTATTTTTTCACCATATCCTTTCCAGTTGTAGTTGCAGTCTGAGTCGCGGCATATCCATCATTATTTCTCATACTGTTAAGGTTCGATAGCTTAATTTCCCGTTTCTTTTATCATTTGGCATCTACGTTTTGTGCAAGCGGTTGTTATTTTTAATCTGTTTCTATAATTTTAATTTTCAATCAATGGCCGATTTATCTTCCATTTTTTATCTCTTAAGATTGTTTTGATTTAAGTTTTTTATGACCCTTGTTTTTGTATATTTTGTGGAATTATTGTGTAAAAAAACTTAGCTTATGCTTTATGCATTAACCCGTAAATAAAATTATAATAAATAAACTAGGCCCAGAGATTTAGGTAGTGGTCTGTTGTACAGAGGTAGCGGTGCGGTCCAAAACCATTGTTGCATGACTGTGATACTCGCAATGACTATAGTAGCATTTGATATGTCCTCAATTTAAATCCTGATTAAGGCAACTGATATATGTGTGTATTGTTCTAAAGTTCATTTCCTTTTTTATTTTTCTAAATTGCATCGTCTGTTTTATTTTGCCTCAAAAGAAAAAATTAGGATAAGGTTGTCATTGAATTGTTCTTTTCATCTTTTTGTTTGGTTTTTGGGTGTGTTAGTAAGGCGTGAGATAGTTCATTTCTTTTGTGTTTCCCAAGATTTGCTGGTATATTGTATGGTGCGTGTTTGTTTCATATGTAGTGTGTTTTTATTTGTTTGTTTTGGTGCTTTTGATAAGCTTGTGTTTGTGTGTGAATCTCGTGTCTCAATTTGTCATACTTTTTTATTGACTTGCTGTTTACCTTGGGCAGATGAACAAGGAAAGGCTCATGAAAATGGTTGGTGCAGTCCGCACCGGTGGTAAGGGTAGCATGAGAAGGTGTTTTCACAATATGAACTTTGCTTGGATAGGCTACCTATTAAGTTTAAGCATCTCGAAATTAGGTTACCTATGAAGGTGTTGCTCAGATATTTAGGAGACACTCTTCTATAAAGTTTTTGTCTGCAGTGAAATCTATAGTCGGATATCATGCGAAGCAGAATGTTCTGACCTTGTAGTCATGTGTATTGTATGCCATGTGGATAGGTGCTTGAATTCGGATGCCTCAATACGATTTGCGAGTTAATGATTGTCTTGTTATTTTGACTTGTTTTAATAGAAAGAAGATGGCTGTCCACAAGACAACTACCACTGACGACAAGCGGTTACAGAGCACCCTCAAGGGGTATCGGTACTCCTTTGCACTATGGTATCGATACCCTTGTATGGTATCGGTACCAAAATTGCATTCGATGTTTGAGCAGTTATAGGGGTATTGATACCCAGTCATAGGGGTATCGGTACCCAGGGTGTCGGTACCCATTCATAGGGGTATCGGTACCCATTCATAGGGGTATCGGTACCTCTTAGTATTTTTGCTCAAATTCGAATTTAATTGACTTTGAATTATTTTTGAAATCTTTGAATAAATTCAATTCAAGTCCAAAAACATTTTGCCATAATTTTTATATCAAAACTTAATTCAACATGTCGCAAATTAGCACGTCGTTGTGAGTTGACCTAAGTTATGAACGACTCCTCTATTGCGAGTTAAGTAAAATTTTGGATGACTCCTCTTTATAGGTTAAGTCATATTGGAAAATTGTGTCTAACAAGATGAAATTATTCAAGAGAAAATATCTCAAGTGAGAGAAAATTTTTGAGAGAAATTGTCTCAAGTGAGACAAATTTTCAACAGAAAACTATCTCAAGGGAGATAAAAATTTTGTTTCAAGAGAAACTTTCTCGAGTGAGATAAAATTTACTTCAAGAGAAAATATATCAAGTGAAATAAAAAAATTTCAAGAGAAACCGTCTCAAGTGAGACGAAAATTTTCTAGAGAAAACTATCTCAAGCGAGATAAAAATTTTATTTTAAGAGAAAATGTCTCTAGTGAGACAAAACTTGTTTTAAGAAAAACTATCTCATGTAAGAAAAAACTTTTGTTTTAAGAGAAACTATTTCATAAGGATTACCTTCACTCATTAGAGTAGATTTTCTTTCATTTTGTTCCCAGTGTGGGGAGTGATCCTTTGTTAAGGTTAAATCCAAGAAGAAAAAATATTTTAGGATCAAATGGGGAAATCAATGGATAATTCTCTTTTTGTGAATGGATAATGATCTAAGACCCTTCATCATCTCATACATAAATTCCTTGTGAAAGAGGTATCCCAAGGGGATAGTTGTTCATAATTAATTTATCATTAAAAAAAACTCTTTAATGCATAATGATTTTTAATTTTTTTTTCCTCCTTTTGTTTTTGTTATGCCCAAATTACTATAACTTATTGATCGCTTGTAAATGTATATGCTAAGGAAAGTAAATCTGTGCAAGTATACACAATTGATGCAAGTAATATAGTAGTGAATGAGTATCGTCTCCACAGGGATTGGATTAGAAATATATTTTCACCACAACTAGAACTAATGTCACAAACTAAATCCTACTAAGTATTTGAACTAAGAACTAATACGAATAAACTAAGAAGAATGATTCAATGATTTCAGAATAATGTAGTCGAGACAAAGGAAATATGCAAACAGATAAAACAAAACAAAACAAGTATTGGTTTAAATATAATGCAAACAACCTCTCATATTCATACGTGTCATAGAGCACTGATGCTAAACTATTGTCTTGACAACAATTATTCTAAGTTCTGAATGAATTATTATGCCTCACTAAACTGCCCGACAGGATTACTAGGTATCCTTGGACTGTTGCTATGGTAATAGCTCTCAGCGTTAACTATAGACGTTGTCTTAACCTACTCTAGCAATTATCCCTTTTAGTCGCTTGAAACTCACTCTTTATCTCTAAGGTAGACAAGTTAGAACTTTACCATATCGGATTCATTCCTTTGCTCACGTTGATATATCTTAATTCTCTCGAATCTAAGAATCACTATCTAGACAAAAGACTATCTCTCGATGCTCTCACAATGCCAAGACATGTTTTACCGAAACCCTAGGCGATCTCTTGATGCTTTTACGGTGTTAAGGAAAAATATTTAAATTATGAGCAAAACAGTAATAAGCAAACATAATTCATCATTCATAAGCATAAAAATGCTGTTTAGGCAAAACAAAGTTTAACACCAAGTAAAGCATTCATGGTGTTATCAAATATCATCCAAGATTTAACCGTTTAATACAACCCAAAATAAAATAAGAATTAAGAACAAAGGAAGAATGACTCCCAAAAATGGGGGCTCTGTCTCGACAATCTTGAGGCCTGATCACTGCTCTGTTATCGTCTGGCTATGGAGAACACCAAGGAAGATTGGTGGGTAGACGCTGGGAAAGAACTGCAGTTACTTGCTCATGCCTTAGGTAAAGCTCTTATCTCTTCTTCTTCCTTGCCTCCTTTCTTTTTGCGGCTACGGCTGAATATTTATAAGGAAAAATCTCCTAGGGCTTTGCATGCTTTTGGAGTTTCCTTAATTTTCTGTTATTAATTTCTCCTATGTCATCCAGCTGGCATGTGACATAGGTAGTTTCGCCATACCTGCTTCAGACTTTTTCAGATAAATCTTGCCTCGGCGAAATAAATATGCTCTTCACGTTCTCTTCTGTTCCATTGACCTTTGCAACTTTTCATTGTCACGACTCAAAATGTTTTTCCTCTGTAGAATTCCTGCACAAACATAACTCAAACAACCCTTTTTCCTCAGTAGTATCAGTCAAGCCAAATAAATCTTGCCTAAGCAAAACTTATCCACCACAAGCTAATATAACCTATATGCAACTAAAAATGCAATGCATACTTTGTTTAGAGGAGCAATAACTTAAGTGAAAAGACTAGAAATTGTGTCTTTTTACGGAGTTATCACACCCCCAAACTTAAGATATTGCTTGTCCTCAAGCAATGAATAATAGCTAGAAGAAAATCAAAATTGTCATGGCAAAGCAGTACCAAGAACATCATCAGGATTGAGATTTCAGCCCTCAGTAAAAATATTTTGCCTCAACATGTTCAACAGACATATCAGTCAAGTCCCTTCCCTAGTCAGGATTCTTTGCGATGGTGTGTGCATGATTGTAACCAGTCTATGCATAGAGGTAATTACAAAACTTAAAGTAAGCACTTATAGGTTGTCAAGGCAACAAACTATTCACTAGGCTTAGTTTATACTCCTAGTTATTTATCAACTTTTATTCTCTTTATTCACACATTTGTTTATAGGGGAGTCAGCTCATCACACTTATCGTTTCACACTCTAGGTGAAAATGAGCATACCTTCCACCCCAAGCTAGTTGGGCAGAGTCATCATGTGACTACTTTCATTCACTCATATGCCATGGCTACTCTTATTTCTTTTGGATTTTTTCTTGTTCATGCCTTTACACAGAGGAGTGTCCCTTTGTGTTTTTCAAGTTTTTAAACACTAGAGAGTTTTTACTTTACTCTTAGAATATTTTTTTGAAGTCTCGGCAATTAGAAAGTTCTTTCCTAAAATTTTTATAGATTACCTAGAGAAAAGACAACCTACAATCGTGTTTATAAATTTCAAATAATCAAGGCTAGGGTTGGTTCTCTTCTTTAGACAATCTTAACAATAATTTCTGGCCTTGGCAATAAAGGATAACATTGAGAAAGGTTGGCAGTCTTATCATTGTGGTCGGTAGCAACTCCTTGATGAAGGCGTTGAGTTGCATGTCCCTTTCCTTGGCATACTCGAAGTAAATTTTCATGTGGTTCTCCATGCGTCTGATCTTTTCATACGTCTCTTACGTGTACATGACCACATAATCCATTTTAGCCGCGACAACCGATTTTGTGCCCCGCTCCAAACCTTCCTTTGGGTCGTCATCATTGAAACTCATCAACTCGGGGACCTTTTTCTTTGTAATACCCTCATTGGGTTTGATGAAATCTTTGAATGGTTCCTCATGAACCTTTTTCTTCCTGTACAACACGACTATAAGATTTGGAAACAGTAGGTTATCCCGGTTCCGTTTGGCACAGTCATGGACCTACTCAAAGATGATTTCACCCACGTCGATCTTCCTACCATATATGATCGAGTGCAAGAGCATCAGTCGCTTGACGAGGAAAGTAGTGTTGTGGGATGTTGGCATCAACTTGCCTGTGAGAAAGTGATTCCATAATTTCACGTGCGGTTTTAGGGCTCGGCGATCTACTCGTTTCCTTGCGTGGGCATTCCCTACGAACTTAGCCTACCCAAAGCATAAATCCTGTAGAACTCCGTTGTACGTTTCTTGATCTATTTCGGCCACAAATCTCTTATACTGGTCATCCACTTTCCCCAACATAAAGTTTTTTTTGAGTGCAGAGGGGGAGAATCAAATGAGTTTTCCTCGAACATATACTGTGTGATTGGAGGGGTCCTCGAGATGGGCATAGAACTCCCGCACCATTGTTGGTGCTGTAGCGTTAGGATTTCGAGTAAACTTCTCCCAAGTATGCTTCTTTATGGCGTCCTTCACCTCGGGTCCAAACAGCTCATTACCCTCGACTGAAAAAATGAATCCATCTTCCAAATATACTTGGGGTTACTGAATGGATTTGAAGCGTGCTTCTGCTTCGGATGTTTGAAAATGTTTGAAACTCTATTTGGGGGCTGGGGCTAGTCTTGATCTCACTATTTTTCTTGGCTGAATTTAGTGGTAGCAACGGGGAGGTATTTTTGAGAGAAAGAAGAAAACAAATTTCTGGTTTATGGAGAAAGAGGGAAAAATGATGAAGAATAGGTGGGTGGGTAGTTTTTCTTGGAAAGTGATGGGTGGTTTCGGGGTATTTTAGTCCTCACATGGCGGGGAAAAGATTTCTCATTAAATGAGAAATATATGATTTGAAATAAAGGAGGAGAAAAGATTTATTTCCCCCTTTACTCTACCGCCAAAACCTTTTTCCCTAGTTTGTCCTTTTTCCTTCATGTATGCTTCAACTCCTCATGCTGCCACGTGTTCCTTGCTTGCCTACAATATGAAAGAAGAAAATAATAAAATAAAATGGATTAAAGCATAAAATAACTTAACTTTTTATGTACAGATTTCAGATTTTCGTTACCTAGGCAACGAATATTTTCTCAATTAAGTAAAACAAACTCTTGGGTATCATGTGCCAACGATGTCGGTTTGTCACGCATGATTGGGGCTCCTTTGTACTCCTTGAATCTCTATCCGTTCACCATAAAGATAGAACCATCGTTTTGGGTTTTGGATTTC